GAGTCCTGGAAAGCAGCCCATACTCCCTGGCAGTTTAGCTCACACTGAGGAGTTTCACTGTATGTACGTGCAACTTAGTGTTAGCAACTTTCATGAAGATAGTGCTGGAGTCCTTGTTATAGTCTTTCCTCTCCGATCCTCTGCCTTGAAAAGTCTTCTCGGCTAACTCCTCAACTCAGCAAGACCACTATGGTCTGCTTAGGTTCCCCCTCCCTGTGCTGCAATTCAGAAAGTACTTCCAGCAAAAAATTTAAGGTGACAACAGAGCTTGCCTCGTTTCTTTTTCTTTCTTTCTTTCTTCCTTTCTTTTCTTTCTTCCTTCCTTTCTTTCTGGAATCACAGTCCTGTGGTAAGTGCTGTCCGATATCTGAAACCGTGATTTCATATATTTTGTGCAATTTTCGAGTAGCTTGCATTAGGAATGTATCACAGGCCAAATGTGTCCCCCTCACCTCTAATGCCTAATGTGATGGTATTAATAGGTGGAGCCTTTAGGAAGCCATTATTTATGAGGGCAGAGCCCTGATGAGTGGGATTCGTGCTCTTATAAAAGAGGCCCAACAGAGCTCCTTTGCTCCTTCCTCCATGTGGGGGTACAACAAGAAGTCTGCAACCCAGAAGAGGGCCCTCACCTAACCATGCTCGTGTCCTGATCCCAGACTCCCAGTGCCTAGAACCATGAGAAATAAGTTTCTGCTGTTTATAATGTACCCAGGCTGTGGAATTTTGGTATAGCAGCCTGAATAGACTAAGACAAAAACGTAGTCTTGGAGAAGTTACTTGGGTATGGCAGAAGTGGGAATCTCTACTTCCTCCGTGGAAGCACATTCAATATAGCGATGTGCTCTTCCAGCCCCTTCTCAAGAGGCTAGGTTCTCAAGAAACAGAAGCTGTCTGTGGCTGACTAAACAGACAAGGAAGCTCAAAGGATCATGGTAGCTCACAGGATTGCGGAAGGGCCAGAGAAGCTGTTTAATACTGTCTTTTTTTTTTTTTTTTGAGACAGAGAAAGAGCGTGAGCAGGGAGACAGGCAGAGAGGGAGAGAGAATCTTAAGAAGGCTCCATGCTCAGCACAGAGCCCAACACAGGGCTCGATTCCACAACCCAGAGATGACGACCTGAGCTGAAATCAAGAGTTGAACGCTCAACCAACGAAGCCACCCAGCCACCCCTCAAGATTGTCTTTATAGGAACTACGCCCAACACGTGCCTCAGACACTGTTCTGATGAGAAAACCACTTCTGGTGCCATTGCTGCCACCAAATTCTAGACAATCAGTGTGTACAACTGTCACTTCTGCACCAGGAATTCAATTATACCACAACCACCACTGCTACTGCCTACCCGGAGGTGCCACTTCCTGTGTCAGGAACTAAATTGTGTCCCCACCGCTAAAGCTGCAACCTCCACACAGAGTGTGCCCTGTGTTTAACTCTAGTTGCACTCGCTCTTGAGTCTGGCGAGGAAAGCAAGAGTCTGTGATTTTCAGCTTCTATAAGGAATGAGCTTTTCTTCCCACCAAGACTCATGAAGTGGATGATTCCCCCAATTCAAAATGTGGTTGTGATGCTCAGCCAAAACATCCACCATGGAGGAACTATTAGCGAATCTTGGATGGCTTTCTGGCACTCGGTACTGGAGCATGGAATAAAATCACTCATTTTGTTTCTGGAAAAGGGATCCACGATCCAGTCTCTTTTGGAGCTTATGAGAGGGGGCCACTGCCAGATCACATGCGTATTCCATACAAGCAACCTCTAGAGAAGTGGCCTTTTGTACAGTTCAGCAACTGGTAGTAACACTATCAGTTCTAATGACCGGTCTCCTGACCTCAGGTTGCAGAAGAAGACAGGAATGAAGATGGCAAAATATTATTAATGGTTCTTGAGCCAAAATTCTCGGAGGGTGGGGCATACTTCTGAGTTTCTGGTATGTAATGAACTGGGGAAAAAAAGGATCTAGATACATTCTAGAACCATAACAAGAAGTGAGCCAATCCTATTGGATTTATTTATTGTTCTGATCATTAAGAACCATTGACCAAATGGCGCAATGTTTAAGCCATTACTAACACCTTAGCTCAAAACAAAAACAAAAACAAAACACAAAAAATGAAAAAACTGTGCAGGGTACATTATATCTGAGCCCTAAGGAAAAAGGGTGCTGACAGGAGGTTTTAGCGACGGTAAGGAAAAGAGGATTGGGTATGGCAGATGGGATGGTGATATAAAGTGGGCCACGTGGAGTCTGGGAAGCAGGGGAGCCCTGGGGAGAGAAGAGGCTGCAATCTGAAGATACTGGGCATCAATGGAGGAAAAGAACAACAGAAGATAAGAGTGGCCTGGGTAAAAGGAAGATAACCATTCTACCTCCTTGCCAATAATTCTAAGAAAGAGGTTCAGAGGGTGGAGAAGAGTACCTACTATAAGCCAAGAATTAGGGATTCAGAGTGAGCATATAGATTCATGCATTGACAAACCAACTGACTGAAATTTGGAAGAAATCACAGATCTGACTTGGACCTTCTCGCTTCCCTCTTATCTTGAATTGTGCTTTTCCTAAAGTTCTTTATGTCTAGCGTAGCTTGGAGAGACCGAGGAACTTTGTTGTGCAATAATCCTTTTTTTTTTTTTTTTAACGTTTATTTATTTTTGAGACAGAGAGAGACAGAGCATGAACGGGGGAGGGTCAGAGAGAGGGAGACACAGAATCAGAAACAGGCTCCAGGCTCTGAGCTGTCAGCACAGAGCCCGACGCAGGGCTCAAACTCACGGACCGTGAAATCATGACCTGAGCCGAAGTCGGCCGCTTAACCGACTGAGCCACCCAGGCGCCCCAGGTGGGCAATAATCCTGATGGAATGGAATTGCTGGTTGCCTCCCCAGTGCACACTCCCTCCATGGGCTTCGGGTGGGGCCTGATAGGCCAGATCAGGGTAGTCCCAACCCTTTGTCACAGCAATGGTTTCAGGGATGGGCAGTAGCCCAGGTGTAAGGTAACAACCATCTGATATCCTGCTGGCCACCGTGCTGTCAGGGATGAACTAAGCTGATCTGCTCAGAGGAAATCCAAGAGTCATTTGTGTGATGAGTGAGTCAAGAGAAGCTCTCTCTCCTGGGCAGTGTGGTGTAATGCCTGGACAGTACAGCCACTTATCCTTCAGGAAGGAAGCCAACCTACATAGGAAATTGACCCAAAGAGAAGAGAAAACCTGAGAGAAGTGTAGAAAAAATAGAGCCAGAGTTGTGATCAAGCCATGCCTGAAGCTCAGGCAACTTCTGAATGTTTTGACTAAGGAAGCCCATATACTTCCTTTGCTAGTGAAGCCAATTGGGTTGACTTTTCTATTTCTTGCAACCAAAAGCATCCTAGCCGTGATACCAAATGATCTATTGGAATCCCTTTTTCCATTTCTTGGGTAGATGTGAAGGGACACAAACAAAATGACCAAAAAAATGAATATATTTTAAAGCCTTACTGTCCTTCTGGGGTTCTACTCTCAGCTTGGTTTAGGCAGGTGGTCACATTGTTAGGAAGAGGAGATGGGAAAGGTTTGAAAAGTGAGCAAGAAGCCCAAAGAAAGGGTAGAGAAAAGTAAAAACAGGAGATTATAAAGTAAAAGAGAGGCAGAACGTCAATGGAAACAACACAGAAGCCTCAGAATTATCCTATTCTTCTGGATGCTGTGTTAACCAAGCCCAGTGGATTCTGTCATCTACATATCCCCAGTCCCCACGGCCTCCTCTTTATTTTCACAGTGATGCTTGGTTCAGACCTTCATGATCTCTCTCCTTCTCATGGTCTCTGCCTTTGCTCTCATCCCCTCCAAATTTATTTTCTACACCACCGCCAGAGTGATCTTCTCAAAAGAGAGCTCTAAACATTTTCCTACTGAAAAATTTTTGATGCCTCCCTCATGTGGAACATGGGAAAGGGCTGAGCTTTGAAGACAGATCATTTTGAAATCCATCTCTGCCACTTACCAGCTGTGTGACTTTGGGCAAATTTCTTCATTTCTCTACACATCGCCTACTTCAACAACAGGCAGGATTCCTTTGATTACCAGTGACAGAAAATGACCCCATACTCATTAGATAAAAGGGGAGGAGGAACTCATTAACTCAAGTGACCAACTGAAGAAAAATAGTACAACAGGGTCTCAGGGATAACGAGAAGCAGAATTCACAAATAGCCTGTACTGTCTCTGCCTTTCTGGGGAGGGGATGGTGGTAAGGGAGGGTTTATATTTCCATTTTTGTTTCTCTCTGCATTTTAGCTTTATTTTCTTGGATTGGATATTTTGTGAATGGCTGGAATGTGAAACATGAATGGCCAACAGCTTCCAGGCTCACATCTTCTAGTTTAGTTCATAGAACAAGGGAGACTCCTATTTTGAATCCCAAATTCAAGCTTTTCAGGAATGGCTCTGACTGTCCTATGTTGGATCAGGCACCCACCCAGGGCTAATCAACCAGGGGCAGGGGAAGGCGCAGGGGCAGGATGTGTAAGAAGATGGCAGCTTCTATTTAAACCACATGAGCACAGAGAATAAATCAGAAAGAACATTTAGCAGAAGCAAATGGTGCTGTTCTGGAAAGACAACCCAGTAGATACTCTTTACAAATTTTATCTCATGTGCTCATATAAATGAGTTCCAAGTACACGGATAGCACCTGAGCACAATACACAGCTCTGCAAATTCTCAATTAAGTTCCCAATTTAATACAAACCAGTTCCCCTGCACCACTAATCCTGTACCCTGTTCACCCTAGATGGCTCACCAATCCCCAAAAGTTGGGTACTGTTTCCTCCTATCCTGGTGCAGGGCTGTATTTCCCAGCCTTTCTCAACTTACTCCTATTAGCCCCTTAAACCCAAGCCAGTGATACCCTTCTTCGAATCCTTCCTCAGCACACCCAGACCCAACAGCCTTCTCTGCACTTCAAGAAGCCTCTTCTTAGCCTCCAGCACAGCACTGACCACATCATATGGTAATTACCTGTTTGCTCATCTGTTTGTTTTCCTCCTCTCTCTCCAGAGACTGTGGCTTTCCAGCTCTTCGTCCCGCGTCCAGGAATAAAGCCTGGCATCTAGTAGACCTCAGTAAATGCTTGTTAAATGAAATACAGGATGAATCAATGCAGAGGAGGAAGTAGAGGGAAACGAGGAGAAGGCTAAGTAGAGATTTCACTGTTCACACACAGACCTGTGTGTTTCGACATTAGCAGTTTCAAAGGGAGAATAGCCAGCAGAGTCTGCGGATGCTTAGAAACAAAGTTGCTTCCTGTCCCTGCAATCCCTGAAATGTGAAAGCTGGCTTTTGTTGTTGTTGTTGTTGTTTTTACCACTGTATTATCTTCTTTGCTTGTTGGAAAGTAAGCTTTCTGTTGACATCTATTTGGTCCTGCCGGCTAACCCGTCAGTTCATCCACATGCTGACCTGGGGATCCAGGATAATGCCCCCACCCGTCCACATACGCACTGGTGGAATCAGACCAGAACTCTAAGTATTCCTGGCAGTCAGTCTGGGTTCTTCTATGGGCCAAAGGGATGAGGTCACCATTGCCAATGAAGTCACCACTGCATGATTCATCCAACATCAGCTCCCTACTTGGGGTGCTCTGACATTCCCAGAGCTTCTCCCAGAGCATCCAGAACCTGGGTTCCCGCTATCCTTCAAGGTTCCGGAGCTGATCCTCCAGTTTCTTGGATCCTTAGTGAATATCTGCCCCCTCTGAGAAGTATTATAAGAACCGAGAGGCTGGAGTCCTGAATGGGGGAAGCCTCAGGGAAGCGTTTATCCTCCAGTCCCAGGACAGACCTTGTCATCCCTCATAAAGGCCTTCCTGTTGTCTCCAGCAACTGCTTCTCTCCTTGTCCCAAACTTTTTACCAGGATCTCTCCAGACACATTCTGAAAGCCTCCAGAGTTCTCAAGGGTGAGACCTGATTCCACAGATGAGTTCACATTTATAGATGAGAAAGCTGAGGCTGGGAGAAGAGAAGTCACATGTTCATGGTAACACCACTAACAAGTATCAGAGCTGCGACCAAATGCACTCTCCCTGCTGGAGGTACTCTGGTAGCTTCTTAACCTCTTCTGATAGACCTTCCTTTTAGAACATTAGTTTCTACGAATGCTGCCTGAAGAAATGGTCCTGTAGGCAAAGGGGGCAAATCCTCCTTTCTTCCCCTCTCACAGGAAGTGGCAGACACTGGCCTTGAACCAAGACCTGATTTCAAGGCCCTGTCCTGCCTTCCTTAACCTGTCATTCAGAATACAAAAACTATCTTCCAGATTCACTGCATAATCTAAAGTAGTGGGGCAATGCCAACACCCACACTTAGACCCAAATGTGGAGGGGTCTGGTGAGATGTTCAGTGTGACTTCACAAAGACCTTCCAATAATCCAGGAAGTCTTTCTGGGACAGTGGAAATCAGATTTGGGGTTTGAGAGTTGAGTCCTGGGAAGTGAGGCATGGGGACATTCTCCAAAGTACGCTCCAGGTCTTTGAATGCTGGAATTAGCTGGAAGACTTTGGGATAACCACTTTGCCTCTCTAGGTCTGTTTGCTCATCTACAACCTCAAGAGAGCTAAGGGAGATGGTCCAGTTGACCTCTGCACAGCTTTTCAACATAGCATTTTCCAATCTTGTGAATCAATGAAAGAAAGCCATTTCTCACATTCAGCAGGGGATGGGAGGTTGTGGTTCCCTGGCACTCTCCCCTGCCCTCTCCTCCAGTGCCTAATGGTCAAAGCAGCACTGTAGGTCAGTGAACAGGACCCGGACAGACAATATTTCCAAGCTCTGCCCAGGCAGGGGTCAGAGGTTGCCCCCTGGATCACAGGCCAAGTCTTAGAGCAAGGGTATCCTCAGGGATCACAATCCACCACTTCGAAGGACACTCCGGACTGCAAGGCGACCTCAGAGAATGCTGCCTCCAGAGGACGCAGGGGTACATTTGCATCCAGACCCCACAGGGTCTCCTTTTTCTGGCTGTTGGAGGGTTGCTTCAGAGGTTCAAGATGGTGTGACTCCTTTAGGCACCAGTTTCAAAGTAAATGATTCAAGTTCGTGCTGTGAACAGCCTGCGTTGTTACTGGGGCGGGGGGGGGGGGGG